CATTTTCCTGTTTATGTTGCCAGTTACAATAATAAAAATTCCAGTGTTTACTTTTACCCTAAAAATTAAAAGACAACACATGAACATGTCTTTGGATGGAAATTATTCATGATGAAAGCTAATTAATAAAGAAAAACAAGAAACTATCTAAATAAAGCAAACTGCCAACCAGCTCCATGTCTCTTTACTTAGCAATATGATGCTAAGGGATTATCCAGTTTAAAATTTATCCTTCAAATTTTAATTCCCCCCAAATTAGAGGAAAATTAAAAGATTTTATGTATTCTTATTTTCTTTGTACATAACAAGAGTCTGCCAGGGGAGAAGGGATGCTAACATTTCTGGGCCACATTCAACAGTATTTTACTTTCATGGCAAGAAAGACAATGATGTGCAATTTTATTGGACCAGCAGGTATAGTGTCATTAAGTAATCTTACATGTTGACACAGATGAGACACTATGTCCAAAAAAATGAAACCATAAGGTAGCATAAGTACCACTGCATTTTTTCCTGTGGACACAACTTAATAAAGCCGCTGTCAGCTACACTACACATATCTTAGCTAAATATATTTCAAGATCCGTGAATCTAGCAAAGCTTTGCAGACTCTTCTGTATTGCCAGTATTGAAGATTCATTCTAGCAGTGTATTACTTATCACTTCAATCTAAGTGCTAGATGCATTTTCTAGCATGCGTCTACATTATCCTTTTATATAAAGTCTTATGGGATGAACTGATAATTTAGAGCCTGTGACTGACACACAAATCTGACACTTCTTGCCTGGGTGAAAGAAACAGAATATGTTGTTATGTGAGAAGTAAAAGAACTCAATATATCTCTACAGAAAATATATTTTTGGAGGAAATGATATTTCAAATTACAAACAAAATTTTGCATATCTGTCTAGTTTTTCAATGCTTTATTTAAATAATGAATTAGAATTATTTTCTGTTTATTATACAAATTAAAAATAATCATGGGGAAAAATTATACAAAGCACTTAAATTAAATAGAACAACAATTATAAAGTAATATTAAATGTATTTTAAAATACATATTTACTAGTCAAAATATTGCCTTATACCTTAAATATTGCCTATACTTTCAAACTTATCTTGCTATAACAAATATAATTTAAAGGAAGAAATCTATCCAGGTCATGGGACGTCTTAAAAGAATTTTTATAAGAGTCATTGGGGAGATTTTTAAAAGTATTTTTTAAGTTATTAGTATAACTATTTTAAAATATGCATAAAATCAAATTTACCATTCTAACCATTTTAAGGTGTACAGTTCAGTAGTATTAAGTCTGTTCACATGGTTTTGTACCAGTCTCCAAAACTCTTCATCTTGCAAAATTAGAACTCTTAGCTCATTATACAGCTGTCCATTCCCCTCCTATCCTCAGCTCTTGGCAACCACCCTTCTAACCTTGGTCTCTATGGATTTGACTACTCTAGGTACCTCCTATAAGTAAAATCATTCAATATGTGCCTTTTTGTGAATAGTGCATTTCACTCACTTCATATACTGTCTTCCATATTGCAGCATATGTCAGAATTTTCATCCCATTCTAAGGCTTAATAATGGTCCATTGTATGTATATACTACATTTTGTTTATCTATTCATTTATTGGTGGACACAGACATGTGGTTTCTTCTAACTTTTGGCCATTGTGATTTCTGTTGCTGTTAGCATGAGTGTACAAATATCTCTGAGACTGCTTTCAACTCGTATGGATATACACCTAGAAGTGAAGTTGTTGGATCTTAGGGTAATTCCATATATAATTTTTTGAGGAACCACCATAATGTTTTCCACAGTGGCTGTACCATTTTATATTCCCACCTACAGTACACAAGGGTTCTAGTTTCTTCACGTCTTCACCAACACATATTTTCTGTTAATTGATAGTAGCAATGGATATGGGGTAGTTCTCATTGTGGTTCACATTTTTTTTGAAGATTAGTAATGTTGAGTATCTTTTCCTGTGCTTGTTAGCCATTTGAATATCTTCTGTGCAGGTAGTTTCAAGTCTGTTAGCCATTTTTTAATTAGGCTATTTGTTTTCTATTGTTGAGTTGTAGGACTTCTTTATATTATAGTTATTAACCCTTTATCACATATATCACTTCTAAATATTTCTCCCAATCCATAAGTTGCATTTCCAGTCTGTTATTATGTCCTTTGATGTGGACTTTTTAATAAAAAGTAATGGTATAGTTTAATGTATGTATTAATTATTTATTTAGTTAGTTTTGCCTATGTTTTTTGGTGATATTTACAAGAAATCATTGACAAATCCAATGTCAAATGACTGTCCTTTTCCCATTAAGTGACTTTGGCCACTTTATTGAAAAATCACTTGACCTTACATACAAGACTTTATTTCTGGGGTCTTTATTCTATCCCACTGATATGTCTGCCTTTATGCTAGTACCATGCTGTTTTTATTACTGTGGCTTTATATTAAGTTTTAAAATGAAGAAATGTGAAACCTCCTTTTTTGTTTATTTTAACGATGGTTTTGGCTATTTGGAGTCCCTTGAGAACCTATATGAATTTTAAGATATATTTTTCTGCTTTTGTCAAAAATGCCATTTGGATTTTGATAGGAATTAAATTTGTATTGAATCTGTAAATCAACTTTGGGTATTGACATTTTGACAATCTTAACTCTTCCAATCCTTGAGCAAGAGTTGTCTTTCCATTCATTTGTGTCTTCTCTAATTTCTTACAGCAACAGTTTGTAGATTTTATTGTGTAAGTGGTTTACCTCCTTGGTTAAGTGTTTATTTTTTTGATGCTATCAAAATTGAATCATTTTCTTATTATCCTTTTTGATTGTTCATTGTTAGCGTATGAAAACACAACTGATTTTTTTTGTGTGTTGACTTCATAAATTGCAACTTTACTGAACTTATTAGTTTTTACAGTTTTTAAATAAAATCATTAGAATTTAGAAATTTTTTAAAAAGAAATTTCGAATTATTTGATGAAATTTGATAATTCAATATATGGATGACTATTTTTATGATCATTATTCTCTCTTTTGAAATTTCACGACAAATAGCATTTTTGTGCACACCTATGCTTTCAAAAGATAAAATTTGCTGGTATACTAAAATATTGTTTGGTAGCTTTCAGTTTTTAAGTTCACACATGTATTTTTAAATTTTCATTTCAAAAATAAAATTATAAACAAGCTTTTAAAAAAATAATAATCACCAAAAAATCCCTACAGTACTTTGAGTTATACAACCTAAACATAAAGTATCACTTGATAATTTCCCAATGCTTATACACATGCATAAATTTTCATTTTGCTTCTCAAAAATAATGTTATTAATATATTTCTTAAATATACATATTGTTTTTCTTTGTATTAGCTACAAAATGATCTATTGAATGAAAACACCACAATTTATGAAATGATTGTACAGTCAATGCACTTTTGATTGATTACAAGCTTTTTCTTCCAGAAACAAAGTTCCTATGAATATTGTTGTATATGTACTTTCATGAGATGGACTTCTGACAGGATATCTGTACATATCCAACTGATTTTTGGATAACAATCAGATATCCAACAAGAGGATATCCAACAAGAGGGAAGACACTATCATTCCCCCATTTGATAGTTTTGCAGTAAATGTCACTTCAGACTATATATCTCTTGAAGCAATATTTTATCTAATACTCAGATAAATGTCCATATATCTTTTTACAGTAGGAGTGAAGGGAGATTTATTGTATATGGTGCAATTGCAATCTTTAATTATGGGGATTTGACTTCCTTTTCAATGGATGAGATCTGGGTAGGAGAATAAGGTTAATTCTAAAAACTGGCCAAAGAATTGTGATATTTTAAGCCAGTGCTGACTTTCTAAAAATCTTTTAATTATTATGGGTACATATCAGTTATATATATTTATAGAGTACGTGTGATGCTTTGATGCAGGCATACAACATTAATTAATCAAATCAGGGTAATTCTGTTATCTATCACCTCAGGCATTTAACATTTCTTTGTGTTAGGAACAAGCTAATTCCACTCTTTATTTTAAAGTATACCCTAACTTAACTTGACTACAGTCACTTTGTTGTGCTGTCAAATATTGTTCATTCTAACTATATAACTATATTTTGTACCCATTGAACATTTCTACTTTATTCCCACCTTCCTGCTACTCTACCCAGCCTCTGGCAACTGTCATTCTATTCTCTATTTCCTTGAGATCAATTGTTTTTAACATTTAGCTCCCACATATGAGTGAGAATATATGACATTTGTCTTTCTATTCTTGGTTTATTTCACTTATTTCTCCAGTTCCAGCCATGTTGTTTCAAATGGCAGGATTTGCAAGCTAGTGCTGACTTTCTGTTCACAAAATTTTGATTGTTTTGGTTACATAGGTCAATATATAGGTTATAACAACACTAGATTGCCATTCTGGCCTGGTGGCCCATTATGATAAATACATTCACCTTTCCTATAATTTCATAATCCTAGTCAAAGTCCAGTCATGGTAGAATTCTTATTGTCAACCAATGACCAAAAACAGGACAGCCCACAGTAAGCTTCTCAACAATGCTAGAGCACGACCCATCACGTTTTATAGCATTAGTGGAGTGGCTTCCTGGGGATCAGAGACAGCCTGTAGTTTTCCTGTTATTAAAGAGAAAAAAACAATCTAAGAGGATCGACTCTCTTTGTTTCTTCCCTCAGTACTCTGTCAAGAGAGCTATGACATCTCCTCTATGTATACATTCGTGTGTATATATATGTACACACACACATATATATATATCTTTTTCCCCAAAGCCAAAGCAATATTTTATCTAATACTCAAAGAAGTACTTTAAGAAAGAATATAGATGAAAATTATACACACAGAGATGTAGCCTGTGCAAAATAAAGATATATTTTTCTACATTATTACCTCATAATGGCCCTGCAGCTAATTAGAATACCGAAACTGATACGCAGTCAGAGCAACTGGCAGAAGCTGCCGAGGTGTTTTGATAAGTGATTTTATGTGAAAATAAACTTGAATGATCCTGTATCAGTCAGAATAACAGATTATACCAACAAATCATCTTAATATATTAATGGCTTACAACAACAGAAGGTCATTTTCTTCCCATATTCTGTGACCATGTTGTGTCTGCTGGGGGCTGTGACCTCTGCAGTCATCAGAATGACCCTTTTATCCACTCATGAAATCTCAGAGAAGCCCCCACCATCTGGACACCAGCTATTGATAAAGCAGGGGAAGAAAATCTTGTAAATCAAGAAACAGGACATACAGTCTCTGGTCATAGGACATTGGCTAAAACAAGTGACATGACTGTGCCTAATTTAAGCAGGGAGGAGTGATGCAATCTCCCTGTGCTTCTGGAAGAAAAATGGTGGTAAGTATTAGCATGAACATTGGTAATGCCTACCATGAACTCACTATATTATAGAGTATAACTTGTAATGTATGTTAGGCTAGCAAGGTGTTTTAAGAAGAGTTAATTCAATGATATTAGTATTGAAATTGTAAGAGTAAATTAAAAAAAATAATCTTGATGATCTCTAAAGGGAAAGAGGTCTTTTTTCCTTTTATTTTCTTCAAGTATATGCTTGAAACAACTTATAATTGCAAATCACTTGTACATTTCTTTGATATTTAGGTAATTTTTTTTATAATGTAAAAAAAATGCAAACATCAAGAAAAATAGGACCCCTATGTAGTAACTACCTGCTTGTCATAAAGATGGGAGATGCTTTATGTTCCTTTGTCTAAAGGCAATTAACTAACACAGATGGTCATCCTAATTACCAGGTGAAATTTAGATGAACTTTCTATAGCAAATGGTGCTGTCAAGTTCTTTCACATGAGGATAGATATCATTTATCTTTAAGAACATACATGTAATAAATGGTATATTCTGGTTACATAAGGAGTAGGGTTTCATTCTTTCTTTGTAATGTCATCAGCAGATTGCCTGTGATGAACATAACAGTCTGGTCAAGAGATTATTCAAAAATAATACTGGTTTCTCTCTTTCTCTACATTTATGGAGAGGTGTTCTGGGTTGGTAGAAATTTCATTTTTAATTTTTTTCCAGCAGAACGAATACCACACACACACACACACATATTAATCCCTTCCATGAAATTTGTGGCACTCAAGAAGGCAGGTGCCAAAAGTTTTTAAAATGAAGTTGCAGTATGCATGTCTTGTCAGTAAGAAAATTATTTCCTCTTAATATCAGCAGTCTTTGATCTACCACATACGTACTTAGTGCACAGTAATAATGTAATAGTCTAAAATATACAATCTAAATTGAATGATAAAAGCTAATATATGTCTACATTCATAAATTATTATAGTATATAAGCAGACTAAATAATTATATTTCATAATAAGCACATAGTTTATGCCAAATTGTATGGAAAAGTCATATATATGGAAAGATAAAGAAAGCATGCAGGCTTAGCATGATGGCTAACCCTGGTAATCCTTGCACTTTGGGATGCTGAAGTAGAAGGATTGCTTGGGTCCAGGAATTTGAAACCATCCTGGGCAACATAGTGAGACTATGGCTAGGTGTGGTGGCACATACCTGTTATCCTAGCTACTTGGGAGGCTGAGTCAGGAGGATCACTTGAGCCCAGGTGATTGAGGCTGTAGTGAGCAATGATCATGCCACTGAGCCCTGACCATGCCAACAGAGTGAGACCCTGTCTCAAAAAAATGCATTGTTAAAGCTGTATGTGTTTGTATACATACATATGTATTTTATGTAGCCCAAATATATTTATATATTTTATGTCATATATCACAAATTTTCCTTTGATAATTATCATAATAACTATTATTATTATCATTACTACTTTCTTGGTTTATACCTAAATTTATCAGTATACCAATATATACACACATATATTTACATAAATATATGTATATGTTATAATGTGTGTATATATAATATAAATACAAATATGTATATATATATATATATAGAGAGAGAGAGAGAGAGAGATTTAAAAAGTAAAGTAACTTATTCCCAAATTACAAAGCAAATCTATTTCAGATGAGAATTAAGATATGTTTGACTGCAGAGCATACTATTTTTCTCCTAAAACGTGTTGCTTATTATAGAAGCCTGTGTCCATACTTTCAAATGCAGTGCATTAGGCAGAATCTTAACTCCTCCCAAAGATATCTGAGTCCTAATTCCTAGATCGTGTAAATAGGTTACTTTATACATTAAAAGGTACTTTTCAGGTGTGCTTAAAATAAGTGAGGTTCCTGAGACGGCAATTGTATCCTGATGGACCCAACAAAGTCATAAGGGTCCTTGTAAGGAACCGAGGAGAGCAGGAGAATCGGACTCAGAGCAGGAGATACGAGGAGGGCGCAGGTGTCAAATGGCTGGGAGGGATTTGAAGACGGTGTGCTGCTGGCATGAAGCTGGAGCATGAGACCACAAGCCAGTAAACAGAGTCATCACCTAGCAGCTGGAAAAGGCAAGGAAACATATTTTTCTCTGGAGACTTTAGAAAAAAATGCAATCCTGCCGAGATCTCGATTTGAGCAAAGTGAAAGCCATTTTAGGCTTCTGACTTTTAGAACTGCCCGACAATAAATTTGTGTTGTCTTAAGTCACTGAGTTTGTGGTAATCTGTTACAGCAGGAATAGAAAGCAAATACATAGGGTTTGCCGAATATGGTCCACATTCACATTCAATGAACTCTTGTCTCTTCACCAGTGTCATTCTTGCCCTGCCAGGCTCTGTCCAGCAATCAACGTCTCAGGCTCCCTTCAACTTCCCGTAGGCTCAGGAACTGGGAGAGCACCAGCTGCAGACTCTGACACCGAGAGGGGAGGGAGGTTGAAGTGGTTATTCCATAAACTCCCTCCTGTCGGGCCATTATGCGCAGGCTGTATCACTCCACCCAAGGTGACAGCGCTTCCCAAGTTGCCCATTCTTCATACCTTTTGGGGTATTGTTACTATCCTCGCTTTGTCCCTTCAGGTTTAAGAGTACAGCAATATCCCTGTCGTGAACATGCCATGTACTGCATTATTCCTTAGGTGCTTTCCCTATACCCTGCTTGAATCATTGTAAATAGTCCTTTTACTAAACAGAGTGTGCTATGTACATACTGCAGGGCCCCTGGTATTATGCAAAATAGTTGCATTGCTGAGTGAAACAGCTGAATGTGATATGAAAATCGGAAAGCTTACCCTTGAAATTTATCATTTTTCTACCGAAATACTAAATTGTACTGAGAAACAAAAAAATTTTCAAGAGCTCTTTATTTGTGAGCTAAATTGATTTGGAAGTAAAAACATTACTGAAGATATTTTTTATAAGTAGCCATTAAGTATATTGAAAAAATTCATCTTGGATGTATCAATTTATCAGTCAAAGATTTTTAATAACATGATTAAATAAAAGGAAGAACTCTCAAAATTTTAGTATCAAACACTTTACTGTGGAGTAATACTTGTAACAACACATAAATTTTCAGTGTATAGTCTCTTTGTGTCCAAACTTAACCGTGGTTCAAAATTAGATTTGCATTATTTCATGTCTTAACTAACCATCTAAGGACAACAAAAAGATGGTCCTTGCACCAGATAGTGTTTAGGGTAGGAAACAGAAACCACTCTAGGCATTTCAAATAGAAATAGGTTTTACATAGGAAAATAGATGTTTACACAATTTTGGAAGGATTGGAGGGGTAAAAATTGATGGAAGCCACAAAACTGTTAATATCAAGCTTCCCTGTAATTCAAAGATATGGATGATGTTGTTGTTTCTTCCACGACAGCTAAGCAGGCATCAAAGTGGTGACTAGCTATTGGAGTATGGAGTGATCTCTAGCCAGTGCAGCTACTGAAATCTGTCTGAACTTGCTCACCTGCCATGGGAGAACCAGAAAGAAGGTATTCCCCTAATTTATGTTTTTTAAAATTTGTCCTTGTGCAGAGGCGTATATATGTAAATAAACAAATGGTAACTAGTTTAAGTTTCATAGGATCTTTGTCACAACTACTAGTGTAGTTGTCAACAGTTGGCGTGGTAGAAAATCTGTCATAGCCATACATAAATGAGTGGGCTTGCCTAGATTCCAGTGACACTTTGTTTTTAAAACTAAGTGGTGAGCCAGCTTTGGATCATAAATCTAATTTGTCACCCCTGCTCTTGTGTATCCATTTGTATCCCAAACTATAGCTTCAAGGGAGTTTGAGAAATATCATTTTTAGCTTTTTAAATGCTTCAAATAGGTGAGAGTCAAAATATTAGTAATACATTTTTAAAAAAATATTTTCCAGCATATTGTGGGGTTACAAATGTTAAGATTACGTATATTGCCCTCGCCCCCCACCCCCTCAAGTCAAAGCTTCAAGCGTGTCCATCTCCCAGTTTGTGCACATCACACTCATTATTTATGTATATACCCCTCCCCTCCCCTCCCACCTGCTTGACACCTGATAAATGTTATTCCTGTATGTCCACTTAGGTGTTGATCAGTTAATACCAATTTGCTGGTGAGTACATGTGGTGCTTGTTTTTCCATTCTTGGGATACTTCACTTAGTAGAATGGGTTCCAGCTCTATCCAGGAAAATACAAGAGGTGCTAGATCACCATTGTTTCTTATAGCCGAATAGTACTCCATGGTGTACATGTACCACATTTTATTAATCCACTCATGTATTGATGGGCACTTCCTTTGTTTCCACATCTTTGCAATTGTGAATTGTGGTGCTATAAACATTTGAGTGTAGGTATCTTTTTCATAGAGTGACTTTTGTCCTTTTGGGTAGATGCCCAGTAATGGGATTGCTGGATCAAATGATAGATCAATTTGTATTGCTTTAAGGTATCTCCATATTGCTTTCCACAGAGGCTGAACTAGTTTGCAGTACCACCAGCAATGTAGGAATGTTCCTATTTCTCCACATCCACGCCAACATTTATTGTTTTTGTTTTGGGACTTGTTAATACGGGCCATTCTCACTTGAGATAAGTGATATCCCATTGTGGTTTTGATTTGCATTTCCCTGATGATTACAGATGTTGAGCATTTTTTTATATGTTTGTTGGCCATTATTCTGTCTTCTTTTGGAAAGTTTCTGTTCATGCCCTTTGCCCACTTTTTTAAAGAGTTACTTTTTTTTTCCTTCCTGATTTTCCCGAGTTCTAAATCGATTCTAGTTATCAGCCCTGTATCGGATGTGTAGCTTGTGAAAAATTTCTCCCATTCTGTGGGTTGTCTATTTGCTCTCTTGACAGTCTCTTTGGCTGTGCAGAAGCTTTTTAATTTGATCAGGTCCCATTTGTTTATTTTTGTTGCTGCTGTGATTGCCTTTAGGGTCTTCTTCATAAATTCTTTGCCTAGGCCAATGTCTAGAAGAGTATTTCCAATGTTTTCTTCTAAAATTCTAATAGTTTCACACCAAATGTTCAAGTGTGTTACCCAGCGTGAGTTGATTTTTGTGAGGTGAAAGGCGTGGGTCCTGTTTTAGTCTTCTACATGTGGCTATCCAGTTTTCCCAGCACCATTCATTGAATAAGGATTCTTTTCCCCAGTGTATGTTTTTGTCTGCTTTGTCAAAGATTAGATGGCTATACGAGGATGTTTTTATATCTGGGTTCTCTGTTCTGTTCCACTGGCCAATGTCCCTGTTCTTGTGCCAGTATTTTTATTTTTTTAAACTTTTATTTATTTATATATTTATCAAACTCTTTTATGTATTTTTATTTTTTGTGAAAATTATCACTTTTTTAGTAAAAGAAAAACCATTCTCAATGAACTATTAAAAATAGGTAGAAAAAATAAAAGAGTTTAAGGCATAGAATAATTTTCATGCCCTGCTATCCAGATTTGAAGAACACATCACAGCTTGGGTTTTGTACCTTCCCTTAGTGCAAGTTAGGAAGAAATCGATCAGTTCATAAATGGCCACATGCCCAGCTAATTTTATTGAAGTATTTTTGAACTTAACAGATATAGGAGAGAATTTCATATTTGTAGCTAATAAAATAATTGTATTAACTACATTGTACTTTCTTGGTAGAAACTTAAATATTACCAAATGAATGATAAAAAGTTGCAAACAATGTCTTTATAGAATTAAATCAGCTTAAATATGATAAATTAATTTTTAAGAAACAAGTAATTTCAATACTTAAGCAAGCAATTCAAAAGAGTCATGCATGGTAAGGAAGTGGAGTAGAAGAGTGCAAGGAAAGAGCAAATATAAAATTAATAGCCTTGTAATAGTCAAACTCATTTCTTTCTCACTATTTTTGCTATAACATAAATGTGGCAGAATAGAAAAATAAATATTACAGTAGAAAAACAAACTAGCATTAATAAAATTATTTCTATTTACTGACTTATTTTGAACAGAAGAGATTTAAGTTAATAGAAATTAAAAAATCATGATAACCAGTGACTGAAGAAGGCAAAAATCATAAAAGTTATTTCTTACCACTATTGCGTTTAAATTATGCAAATAAAGATTAATGTTAAAATGGCACATATCCATGTTACAGAATTGCATAATATATAATAAAGTAAACACTAAATGTTAAAGATTGAATCTGCTGTATGCAATTTACAATTCCAAAGAGGTCAGTGTTATATTTTTCATGTTTTTCAAATTTAACAATTTAACAATGTTAATGCAGATATTTCACTGATATTCAATCCAAACATTTTAATTCAAGAGTCTTGGTAAAATGGAAAATATTTAAATTAACATTTTAAATAAGAATACTACAAAAACAAATGAAATGATATTATATCGTTTTACTGAAATATGATTAATCATTAATGAGCTCATATCATGTTATTACATTTAGAAGTTACTATACAGTTTTAGTAAATAATGTCTTTTCATTTTTCTTAAGAAATATAATTAAAAATAAACAAAGTATCAATGATATGCAAACTTCTGTGACAAAAAGTGTGCTATCAATAGATTTTTTAATTCTCAAAATTTTTTTTGAGACAAAGTCTCACTCTGTTGCCCTGGCTAGAGTGCCGTGGTGTCAGCCTGGCTCACAGCAACTTCAAACTCCTGGGCTCAAGCGATCCTCCTGCCTCAGCCTCCTGAGTAGCTGGGACTACAGACATGTGCCACCATGCCCGGCTAATTTTTTCTATTTTTAGTAGAGACTGGTCTCTCTCATGTTCAGGATGGTTTCTAAGTCATGAGCTCAAGTTTTCCTCCTGTCTCAGCCTCCCAGAGTGCTAGGATTACAGGGGTGAGCCACCACCACACCACGCCAATTAATTCTGTTTATTGTTAAAAATGATATATTTAGATCTTTTTCACACACATACACACGCACACAGACACAAAGTTAATAGTGTAAATAAGTCTGGATAAATTAGCACTTAAAGCTTTTGTTCCCTTAATCATTTCACATATTTACACACATGCAATATTTATTTTATTCTGCTTATATTGATTAATTTGCCTGATCTTGGTCCTCAATGTGGACACAGTATCTCCATTTAGATTCCCAGCTGGGGATTAAATTTTTACAAATCTGTAAAGAAAAAGGTCTTGATTCCCTTCAACACCTCTCCTCTTGCAATTCTCTCTATATATCTGTTCTTTCTGTTTCCCAGTCTCAGCTGATGGTGCACCATTCATCCAGTAACTCCAATAAAAAAATACCCTTAATTCCTTTCTTTTCCATGCACCTGAAATAACTCAACAATGAGCAAAAGAGTACCACCACCAAATTATATTCTAAATTCAACTAATTCTCCCCTGCTACTATCACCCAAGGTGAAACCTTCAATATTTGCAATTTGAAATATTATAACCATTCAAGTTATTTTCCTTTGTTCCTTCTCTTCCCTCTTCAGCTCATTGTATAAAAAATAACCAGATATTTATTTTACAACCATAAATTGAAATATATCCCTGTCTTGCTGAAAACCCTCATTGGCTAGCTATTTTAGTTAGGATAACATCCAAATTGTTTACTGTGATAGCACAACAAAGTGACTGTAATCAATAATAAGTTAGGGTATACCTTAATATAGCTACAAAAGTAGAACTGTGATGTTCCTAACACAAAGAAATGATAAATGCCTCAAGTGATGAGTACTCTAATTATCCTGATTTGATTAATTCACATTGTATACCTATATCAAAACATCACATGTACCCTATAAAGATATACAACTATTAAATACCCATAATAATTAAAAATAAAGAAAATCAATAGAAAATAATTGTTTAGTGTGTCCTACAAGAACCATCCAATTTTTCCACTCCTTATCTTTAGGAAAAATTACAATATTTCCCCTGTTTCTTATGCTTCCTCCACAGTGGCCTTCTTTCTTTTCTTTCAAATATCCAACGTTCCTTTTTGCCTAACATCCTACGTTCTTGTTTCCTCTGCCTGAAACTTGCTGCTCTGGATCTAGAATATTCTGCCTCAGTTCCTATTGATAATTTATGTTAATAAGTAAATACTTTGTATATATTTTAGTTGTGTCTAATTTGTATCTTCCTCACAGTGATGAAAAAAGAGAAATTTTATTATCAACTCTTTTTAACAGAGTAAAACTTCCATCATTTTAAAGCAGAATTTTATTTTCCACTTGCTTTATGCCAAGTGAATTCCTTGGACAAGTTTATTAGCTTCATTTTTCTATACTCTGCCAAGTAATGAGACTCAAATAACTATGTAAATTCATTAATCTCATAAAGCAATTAGTGTAAAACCCAATGACTGTTAAATTATTTCAAAATGAATTAGTTACAACATAACATTTAATTTCATGATAACCCTCATTTATTTACACAATATGATAATTTCGATTAAATAAATGCAAAGATGTAATATATTAAACAGAGCAGCCGAAAGCTTGTTCATCTCTTGTAAAAGTGACTTCTATGACCTATGGCTAA